TCTTCTCAGACAATAAAATAAGTAATTTCTGACCTTCATTGGGAATGAACACAGGGCTCAATAAATACTTATTAACTGACACATAACATGATTTGCCAATTTTCTTTCTTGTCCAGAACCTGAAAAACGATTGCACTGACTTCCCAGGGAGCCTTAGTATTTTTATAAAAGCAAGAAATCTAACGGTTCAGCAATATAGCACTTGCTTACAATTTCCTTATAGCATGGTTACTGCCAGTATTCTTCAGCTAGCATTTACAATGATGATAGACTTAATAAGCTCATTAAATTATATTGAAAAGAAGTCTTTTGAGGTTAAGGCAAATTAGTTGATTTCTGTTCTTATTTCAAAAAAATTTTGCTCCTTCTACATTCTATTTTTGATATCTACCAGATGGTGCTTTTTAAAAAATGAGTCTATAAAACTGATAAATTATCAACCTTGCAATTTTTCCTCAGGGCACTCTTTTAGCTTCCCTCCTAATGTTTAGAGGATGAATAGGACCAATGAAGAAAGTTTTGAACCTTAGGGTTAGTGGCATATTTAATTTTCCTTCACATTCATTGATTGTTTCTTATAAATAGGAAAAGAAGAAAGAGCAAGAAAAAAGCTTTCCATAATTTATGGGCAGTTTTTCCTGGTAAATACATTTACAGTGATGAAAAAATATGGGTGAGATGTGACTTTACCTACAGGCTTTACTTTAGTTCCATGGACAGAATAATTTTCATATTTAGGCAGATGAGTTTTTAAAAGTGCTAAAGATACAAGAAAGAAGCTGAACATATACCCTATTTCCCCAGACAGCCTTGTTAATACATGTTGTCTCTTAGTGCTGTCTAATGTGGGCCCCCCTTAATTACTCCCCCAAGTATTTTGGTTTGAAGGGTAAATTTATGATCATCATAGAATTAAATCATATCAAAATTATATGAATGGTATGGTATGAACAGATAGCAGAAATCTCTAAAAATAAAGATGAATTCTTTAAAAAACTCTCAAAGTTTTTTTCACTATTTATTGTGTTTAGCACTTTGATATGTTAGACATATTCCAAATACTCAGCATCCAATATAGAGTAATGATAACAGAATCATTTAAATAGCTTAGAAGTCTTTGATTTTAAGTCATTACTAATCATATACTTTCAAAGTTTCTGAAGACAAATAACTTTAAAAGAATATCATTAAAAACGAATCATTTAAAAGGACCATTTTAAAAGACATTTTGAAAGATTTTTAGATTTTTAGAATCCTTTTCTAGCAATATCAGTAGTTGCATTAGAGTCTCAGAAAAAGAAATGACATTCCATTGTCTTCAACAAGGAAACCTTTTGTGTGTGTGTGTGTGTGTGTGTGTGTGTGTGTGTGTGTGTGTGTGTTTGTGCGCGCGTGCGCACACGTGCGCTATAAACCACTTTAGATAACTTCTGAATCCTATAACCCTCTTCTAAGAAAAAAACTTTTTAATCACATAAAATAGAATACAAAGTACTACAATGAAACCTATTATATTGGGATACAACTATCAAAATGTATTTTCTAAATGTGATAAAGTAATATATAAGAGTTTTCATTTACTCATTAAATAACAATATTGAACAGCAGGTCTAATAACTATCATAATTACCAAGAAGTGACCAACAGCAATGATATTTTAAAGTTATCTGCAATAACATGACCTGAAAAGTCACAGATGCTGCTTATGCTACTGTTTCGTCAACTATATTCACACTTGGAGAAGGTTTTCATGAAAAGGTTAGTAGAAATAAGGTAATTTTCTCCTAACCTAGTTAATGAGCTCTTTGAATTTTATCATTGTGGGTACAATATTAAGAAAGCCTAGAAAGTCAAACTAGTTTATTATAGGTGCATGATTTATTCATCAAACAACTATTTACCCTTGTAATCAGGCTACAAAACAACATTTGTGAAAACAAAAAGCCCAACAAATTCTTTTAAAATGAAAATTCATTGTGTAACTGAGACCTACGAAATATAATGCAGTATATACTGAATGAACTGAATAGAAAGCAAAGTAGATGTTTTCTAGAATATTTTAAAAACCAAAAAATGAAAATCTCCTTTAAAAAAGACATCACAGGGGCGCATGGGTGGCGCAGTCGGTTAAGCGTCCGACTTCAGCCAGGTCACGATCTCGCGGTCCGTGAGTTCGAGCCCCGCGTCAGGCTCTGGGCTGATGGCTCAGAGCCTGGAGCCTGTTTCCGATTCTGTGTCTCCCTCTCTCTCTGCCCCTCCCCCGTTCATGCTCTGTCTCTCTCTATCCCAAAAATAAATAAACGTTGAAAAAAAAAAAAAATTAAAAAAAAAAAAAAACTGTAAGTGATAAAAAAAAAAAAGACATCACATTTTATATTAAGCATTATGTCCTTTATCTCTATCATTAATATTTTAAAATCAAAGTTATATTTTTACAATTTTTTTCTTCAGGTTTGCACTTCCTTTACAAATTTAACAGTGTAATGTTTATGCTTTTTTTCTCTCAAAACTCTGAAAGAAATCCAATAAGCAAGTGTATCGAATGTATATATGCATAATTCAGGCCCTCAACCTCAGTGGTTTCACTTCCTGGAAGAGAATAGAAATGATTTGGTAATTAAACACAGAAACTGCCTAAGAGACAAGGTGGAATGACAGACACTGGACCTTAAAGGGACCAGAAGCGACCCTGTCCAACCCTTTACTTCACAAATGAGGAACCAGAGACAACAGAAGCTAAGGGACTTGGCTTGGGACCCAAGATGACAGTAGAAAAGCTCATCAGATAGTTAACACAGCCCCTCCTCCACTACTCCACTGGGGCAAATCTTGGACCTGGGTCCACACCTACCAAAGCACAGTTACTGAAACAAAAGGTTACAATCAAGTAGAAGTACATCCTACTTATAAATTTTTGCTTCCAAATACGAAACTTGGAAGCCTTAAGTGGTGATTACATTTTACAACAGAGGCCTTTAAAGAATATTAAAATTTCAAGAAGTTGTTTTGAATAGCTTCCAAAGTCTAATTTATTAGCCATGTTATTATGACTATTGAAAAGCCAGTTAACCTCTAATTTTACTTTGTTTTGTTGGATATCCTTTTTTCCCTGATTATAAAATGAAAACACACATCTATTACACTATTACAATAAACTTTGAAAATACAAAGACAAAAACAGAAAAAAAGTAACAAGCAGCCAAGAGCCAAAGGCAAAATTAGTAATATTGCCAATATTTCAGCATATTTCTTTCCAGATATATATGTATATATGAATATATAGCTATATACCTACATATAAACTTACATATAATTATTATATGTAAAATTTTATATCCTGCCTTTTCTCTTAGCATTTAACCATGAACATTTTCCCAGTGAATAAAAGTCACTTCTCAAAAATCACTAACATGAATATCTGTGTTTGGTGGTTATTAAAATAGTAAAGTTTAAAGATATTACAATAAAAGGGGTGCTTGGGTGGCTCAGTCGGTTGAGCATCCAACTTCGGCTCAGGTCACGATCTAGTGGTTGGTGAGTTCGAACCCCACATCAGCCTTTGTGCTGACAGCTCGGAGCCTGGAGCCTGCTTCAGATTCTTTCACTCCCTCTCTCTCTGCCCCTTCCCTGCTCACATTCTGTCTGTCTGTCTGTCTCTCTCTCTCTCAAAGATAAATAAACATTAAAAAAAAAAAAAAAAAGACATTACAATAATAAAATTATCTCACAGTTAATTTTTGATCAGCGGATTATGGAGGCTATTGCTACATCAAGTGACTCTCATGTATAAAAACGCTGTAAATCAAAATTGTTAAAAATGTGTACAAGATAGTCATTAGAAAAATTTAAGTGAAAATAGCTAAAATCATTGAGGAAAATGTGTAATATCCCAGGAAATGAGAAAAATGAGAACTCAAAGAGATATCACCTTTATATGCAGGAGGATTCAAGACAATATTATTATAACAGTAAATTTTGATGGGGTTCTGTAAAGTCAAGAGGGAACATTGGTACAAACATTTTAGTGCTTGACATACCACAGGGGTTCAATAAATATTGTTCATTGAACAAATGGGAATCAATGTAGCAATATATATCAAGAAACATGAATATGATTATACCCTTGACCCATAATTGTAAGGGAAAATATAAAATATATACACTTTGGCACTCACTGCAGTTTTCTTTAAGGAGTAACATGGTTCACAACTAAACGTGTAAGACTGCTAAAATCGTTAAGTAAATAACGTAGGTATAAAGAGCCATGGAGATAATTTTCAAATTAATTTAACCACTATACTATAATCATAAGTGTCTTGCCTATAATTTGTGGTTTAAAATGATTGAAGTATTGGGGCACCTGGGTGGCTCAATCAGCTAAGCGTCCGACTTCAGCTCAGGTCATGATCTCGCGGTCTGTGAGTTCGAGCCCCACGTCGGGCTCTGTGCTGACCGCTCAGAGCCTGGAGCCTGTTTCAGATTCTGTGTCTCCCTCTCTCTCTGACCCTCCCCCGTTCATGCTCTGTCTCTCTCTGTCTCAAAAATAAATAAACGTTAAAAAAATTTAAAAAATAATAAAATTAAAAAAATAAAATGATTGAAGTATTTAAAATATTGGTATATTTAATCTTTTGGAATAAGATTTTATTTCATTCTTTTAGTATAATAATTAACTTTAAAATTGAAAAATATCCCTGCATTAAAAATATATATTTTTTACTTCCAAAATATATTACTATAGCCAATCTCAGAACTGTTCCCTGTTTATCCTGTGTGACAGACGATGAAGTCAGAGCCTCCTCTGGTGGTCATACCAAGGGTGAAAGAAAACAGTTCATGACTTTCTATTTTCTCTATACCATCACTTAGACAACCTTGATGTTTCCTCTTACCTAATCTTGGCCTAGACTTAGTTTTAGAGAATTAGCTTAAATTAACACACACACACACACACACACACAACTTAGAGGGGTAAACCTTTAAAAAACAAGTCACAACACCTTTGTGAGTACTGATGGTTCACTTCCATCTTCCACCACAATTAGTTGTGATCTTCCTTTCCTTTCATTGTCCCGAATGCCAATGGCAACTTGGCTTGCCTTCAGACGCTCGTATTTGTTACATGAGGAACCACACCACTGGTAAATTTCCTAAAAGAAAGAGACAGATCCTTTGACCACAGAAATACGTGGAAGACATTCAGCCCTGTTGTAATACTCACTGTGATTAATTAGGAAAAAAATAAAAAGATATAAAAAATGAAATTGGGGCGCCTGGGTGGCGCAGTCGGTTAAGCGTCCGACTTCAGCCAGGTCACGATCTCATGGTCCGTGAGTTCGAGCCCCGCGTCAGGCTCTGGGCTGATGGCTCAGAGCCTGGAGCCTGTTTCCGATTCTGTGTCTCCCTCTCTCTCTGCCCCTCCCCCATTCATGCTCTGTCTCTCTCTGTCCCAAAAAATAAATAAACGTTGAAAAAAAAAAATTTTAAAAAATTAAAAAAAAAAAAAATGAAATTAAAGTTATCTACTGTTGAGGTATATACATGATTTTATACTTCATTCTGTATCCTGTTCCTTTGAGTTAGCATCATAACATAACCACTTTTTAAACATGGGAAACATAAATATTTACTCACCATTCTTTTTATATATCCACTAATTACAATTTATGAAAGAAGAGTTGTATATACTACTCAAATTTAAAATAAAAATTTACCATATTTCAGAAAGGTAGTCAAGAGTCTGTTGTAGTAATGTGTTCTTGATTTATAAAAATTGATCTAACACTTTTCTAAAGCAACCTAATGAATCTTACCAAGAGCCATAAAAATAATTAAAACCTTTGACCCAGTCATAACACTACCTGGAATTCATTTTAATAAATTATTCATAAAGATTAGGAAAAACCATGTGTACAAGGGTTTTCATTGCCATATAACTAGTAAGGCATTGGGAAGACATTAAATGCTCAGTAATAAGATAACAGTTATATATAATTATGATCCATAGAAAAAACAGATACTTAATATCAAAGTTATATTTTAACACAGAAATTTATAAAAATAAAAATAGAATGACAGTTTTGATGTATTATACAGTAAGTAGATTATATTAGCTGCCATTTAGATTAAAACATTGTATGATTTTGACTCAGGTACAGTGTTTAGAAGGTATAGATACAAATGTAAAATAGCCAAATAAAATTTTCTCCATTAAATGTGGTTTAATGAAAGAAAGAAAAATATAATGGTACCTAGGTTTGGTGGGGGTGTTGGAATGGGCATTATCACTCTCTATTTGGGTTGTATAAACTGACACAATCATTTTATGAGGGAAGTTTGACATTGTATCAAAAAATTATACGTGTTTTTAGAATCAGGAAATTCCATTTCTAGTTATATTACAGAAATATTCGGACATGGTTTACAGCAAAACAAAACAAAAAAGCCACAAATGCCCATCAATAGGGAGATGGCTGTATAAATGTTGTTCTATGGATATTGCAGACTATTCCTCAATGGCTTAAAACTGAGGAAAATGTTTAAATACTGACATAGACAATTATTCAAGTTATACCATCCAAAATAAAATAAAGACACAGAATAATATAATTATATTTAAGTGGAAACAAAATCATAAGCTCTGTTTCTGGGTTTGCAGAAAAATACTTCTATTTATTTTTTTTTTAATTTTTTTAATGTTTATTTATTTTTGAGACAGAGAGAGACAGGGTGCGAGTAGGGAAGGGGCAGAGAGAGAGGGAGACACAGAATTGGAAGCAGGCTCCAGGATCTGAGCTGTCAGCACAGAGCCTGACACGGGGCTCGAACTCACGAACCGCGAGATCATGACCTGAGCCAAAGTCGACACCCCAAACGACTGAGCCACCCAGGCGCCCCAGAAAAATACTTTTAAAGATACACAGTTTTACCAGATGGATAGAGGCGTGTATACACAGAAAGAAAGCCTTCAACTTTCACTGTATCTAAGTTAAAAGGTTTTTGTTTTGTTTTGTTTTCTTTTTTAAAGTCACTCACATTTATTAGGTGCCTATTATGAGCTAGAGGCTGGGGATAGAGAGAAGAATGAGAAAGCTAGCAAGGAGGAATTGATATGTAAACAACGAATGCTAATATATTTGCACTACGCTCGGTTTTCAAAAGGGTTCCACACAGGGTTCTTCTAGTTAGTCTTAGAGAGCTGGTTACCACAGTGGTTAGTGTGAAGGAGACAGATCCCGGTGGCAACTTACCATCTATATGACCTTGGGTTTACAATTTTCAAAAGAGCACATCAATTAACAACAACATCAAAGAATGCCCAAGCATTCAGAGAGATTGGCTCTTTTCTCTGATGATAAGACATTTCCAGCTCAGAGTCTTTTCTTTATTTAAAATTAGTTTACTGATTGGCTAAAATAGGCAAGCTGTCTTCTGGGCCCCAGGGGCCCAACTTTGAATCGCAAAGGCCTGGGACAGTCTCTCTGATCCCTCATCCAACCATGTTCCTGATGCACCTATTCCATATTCCTCTTCAAGAATAAAATACACGTTTTAGGAATTCAAGCCTTTATAAGAAGTAAAATAAAAAAGACTATGTCTTGCAACTCCTTTCACTCTAGAATCTGAACTAGTCTACGTGGTCAAGGGGCATTTCTTTTCCGTTTTTAAAAGAATGGTACACTGCTATTGTTTCCTGTCTATTTTCTTTTCTACATCTAGGTATCTGAATATAGAGAATCACATTTGGAGTCAATTTGAATACTATGCCCAGGTCAGCAGTTAACAGAGTATAAACAAATGGTCGTCAACAGTTAGTCAGTGCCTATCACTGAGCATTAAAATCAGGTGATGGGGTAGGAAAGGTGATTTTGAAAAATACAGATACTTGAGTGATACCTTAGGGACTCTCAGGTGTGTTCTGGGCAGCCCTGTTTTTTGAACGCACCTTAGATGGTTCTAGCATTCAACAAGTGCTGAGAACCCCTCAGCCCTGCTGGTGCCCTAGCACATTGCACCTGGCAGGCTTTTACAAAGAATCTGTAACATCTAATTACTCAATGCAGCCAAGCAGGCTTCTCTGCGAAGTACATCTAGCCTCTTGGCTCAGATTTCTTTCCTATGCTATTCCATGAGACTTTGTAAATGATTCTTTTCTCAGTATGTTTGAGAAAACAAACTTCTAATATTTACATTACAGGGAAATATAGGGCATAGATCAGAAGATCAGATCTCTAGATTTCTCAGACTTATTAGCAACTTTCACTACTGACTTGTATTTATATAATTGTCCAACAGGTGTTTATTTTCTCCCTACCTTACTTCAAAGAGATGATATAAATCATGCTAAATTTCATTAGCTTCTGTAAAGCATTATGGAAGCTTGGCAAAATGTGTTTAGAAAAGAATTGTAGATAATAATTTAATATAATTATTATTTAATGTAGAATTTTACCACGTTCCATGAAACCCAATATATTTTCTATGATATTACCTTGGGCTGAGAGTTTCTATGTGTAGTATCAGTTCACAGATAAATTTAGTTATAGAAAATATTCCTCACCATTACTGATAGGCCTCAGTTTCCACTTTGAAAATAGCAAGAAGAAAAAAGCTGGAGATATCACAATCCATGATTTCAAGATATACTACAGAGCTACAGTGATCAAAACAATATGGTACAAGTGCAAAAGCAGACACTTAGAATAGAGAACCCAGAAATACACCTATTCCTATCTAATCACTTAATCTATGACAAAGGATGCAAGCATTTGTAATGAGGAAAAAAGTCTTTTCAATATATGGTGTTGGGAAAACTGGACGGCTACATGAAAATGAGTGACACTAGAACACTTTCTTTCACCACACACAAAAATAAACCCAAAATAGATTAAATACCTAAATGTAAGACCTGAAACCATAAATTCCTAAAGGAAATTATAGGCAGTAATCTCCTGGACATTAGCCCTAGCAACATTTTTCTGGATGTGTCTCCTCAGGCAAGAGAAATAAAAATGAAAATGAACAATTGAGACTACGTCAAAGTAAAAAGCTTCTGTGCGGTGAAGGAAACTATCAACATAATGAAAAGGCAAACTACTGAATAGGAGAAAATATTTGCAAATGATATATCCAATAAGGAGTTAATATCCAAAATATATAAAGAACTCATACAACTCAACACCAAAAAAAAAAAAAATCTGATTTAAAAAAATGGGCAGAGCACCCAAATAGACATGTTTTCAAAGAAGACATACAGACAGATGGCCAACAGACACAGGAAAACATGTTCAACATCACTCATCATCAGAGAAGTCCAGACCAAAACCACAATGAGATATCATCTTACCCCTGTCAGAATGGCTAGAATCAAAAGGACAAGAGCTCACAAGTGTTGGTGAGGATGTGGCAAAAAGGGAACCCTTATGCACTGTGGATGGGGACGTAAATTGGTGCAAACACCGTGGAAAACAGTATGGATGTTCTCAAAAATTAAAAATAGAACTACCCTATGATCCACTAATTCCGCTCTTGGAATAAAGAAAATGAAAACACTAACTTGAAAAAGTATACGCATTCCATGTTCACTGCAGCATTATTTATAATAGCCAAGCTGTGTAAGCAACCTATACAACTACCTGATAAATGAATGGATAAAGAAGACACAGACATACACACACCTGATATTACTCAGGCATAAGAAAGAATAGGATTATATCATTTGTGACAACATGGATAGACCTAAAGGGTAATATGGTAAGTAAAATAAGTCATACAGAGAAAGACAAATATCAAGATTTCACTTAAATGTGGAATCTAAAAAATAAAACAGACAAAAACCAGAAACAGAATCATAAATGCAGAGAACAAACTAGTGGTTGCCAGCGGGGAGAAGGGTGGATGAAATAGGTTACTGGGATTAAGAGATACAAACTTCTAGTTATAAGATAAATGAGTCACAGGGATGAAAAGTACAACATAAGAAATATAATCAACAACATTGTAATAACATTATATGGTGACAGATGGTGACCACACTTATCGTGGTGAATGCTGTGTAATGTATGGAACTGTCAAATCCCTATGTTTGTACACCTGAAACTAATACAACATTGTATGGCAACTATACTTCAATAAAAAAATTTTTAAATAG